TTTGCAACTATGTCTTGAAATAATGAGTTTTTACAATGACTGGTTTTTTATATCTGTGAATTATGGAAGAAAAGTTGAACAGTCCCACAAAATCAGAAAAATAGATACCACAGACAGTGAAAGCAGGCTTTGTCTGTCCCAGCAAGACAAGGCTGTACTTCTGTCTTCAACCGAACAAAACATCTTTCATGTTCTGATCCTTAGAAAGGTGGACCTGCAGCCCACAGGAGTCTGGTCAGGAATACTGCTTCCCCTCTAGAGAATAGTTGAGTTCTCAGATGAAAGCATAAGATCAAGCCTGTAATGAATACTCTGTGATGCTAACTTGATTTCATCTGAAAGCTGAGCTGCTGTATTCAACCCAGATGAATACAGAGTGCCAAACTCTCTTGTCAGAGCTGTAGGCATGAGAAGATGAGCTGAGAGAGAACATTAAATGATTTAACCACTACAATTCTGGAATCGTCAATTAATTGTGACTCCTATTTTTTTAACTGAGAATGTCATGTAGTCCTGAATATCTTCTGATATTGGACTGAATTGAATTGAATTGATCTGGCTGGCAACTGCCTCTGTGTCCGATTCTACAGGCTGGAAACTGATTTCATGTCTTCTGTGTTTGCAATGGATGCAAATTCTTCTCTTCCAGAGCCTCTATCACTTGGAACATGACAGAAAATAATTTGAAAAATATGCAAGCAGTTTTGTTTCTGCTTTACTTCGAGTCTTTAGGGAAAGTTATTAGCTATTGTTTCAGGCCTATTAAGTTTGAGCGAAAGACTTTATTTGGAGACTGTCACCCTTTTTTACTGCAATTTGCCAGGTCTCTGATGCCATGAGAATGGAAGAAGTGGCGCAGAGACCCACATCCACCTCTGAACAGCAGTGGAGGCTAAAATCAATTTTGCTATTTCACAAAATATCAGACTACTTTGCCATGGGAAAGAAATGTAGGAAAGGGCAGAGGGTTGAACTGAGCTCTGAGAAAAAAGTCTTTGAAAGTATACAGTGGGATGGGAAGTTGCAACTGCTAAAACACATCTATCTGCACATCTAACCACAGCAATATCTGTGCCAGCTGCAACCAGTCTGGCTTTAAAGAAGTCTGGCACAAGCAAAAACAACAGCATGCTATCCCAGGACTGTATCTGCAGTTGGCCTTGGGAGAATTTTTAGGTGCAAGCAGAAGGGCATAACTTCTTAGCAGTCTAAATGGCATCAAGATGGGACCCTAAGCAAGGAGAATGTTTTGTGCTTCCACCTATCAAGGGATGCTTGCATCATCTAGTCGCTGTATGAACTGACTGATAAGAGTCACTTTGTTTGTAGCCTGACAAAATATTCAATTACTCAGTCTTCAATTGCTTTGTCTCTTGAATGTAATGTCATGCATTTGATTTTGCTGTGTTTATTCCCCCCTCCCAAGAATATGAGTTCAATTCTGTGTACACCCACCAGTACATACAAACTGAAGGATTATAGTTCTAAGGATGATGTAAAGTAGATTGTTGTCTAGGACTCACACAAATTTACCAATAAACACCAAAACACAAGCATAATTCATCTACAGCACTTCTCTTACTTTAAAGATTGCATGCTGAAGGTCAAAGTCATAATTCCTGCAGCCAGAAGAGTAATGACACTTGCAGCTGTTTACATCACATTTTGCTGGCCTGCTTGGTAAGACTCCTGAAAAGGCTGTCAAAGAGCTTTTTCTGTGTTTTCTTCTAACTAATATCTTGGAGAAGGATGCGTCAGGTGGGTTGGTAATTTGTACAATTGGTTTCAGAAATGTAGTCAAAAATATATCCACTTTTATTTCCCTGTAACTCCACTGTATTAACATCTTCTGTATTACTTCTGTTTGCTTTTCAGAGTCAGATCCTACTCCAGAAATGTTAACCCATCTTGGCTTTAAGAGTAATAAAAAAAGGCTGTTCAGGGTCTGCCAGAATATGCATGGCAATGTACATCTATGTCACTTCAACCAACACAATATTCTCACTCTTCAATGTGTAAGTTCGCACCAACTTCCCCATCATGTCAGTGAAAGAACACTTCAGCATTAAAGAAAAGCTGCAGCTCTTGGTCAATGCTTTGAAAGAGATGCAAGTCACCATGGAAAGAGATGACAAAGATGTACAGGAAAGCATCGGCCGCACTTTGTGGCTAAGATTCCTGGTCCCATCACCTCCCTGCAGGACAAGACTGCTGCAGTAAAGGAACTTTCTAAGATTTACAAGGGGGCACTAGAAAACATCACCAGTGCACCTATTGCAGTGATGTTGAAATATGACAATATCCCTGAAGCAGTAGAGTCTGCTATTCAAGTTACTGAGTTCACCTGTCTTATCCCTTCAAGTATCAGAACTTGTCATGGCTCTATAGAACTTCTCTGCCAATATTGTGAAAATGCTGCAACAAAATGAGAACACCAAATACCACAGAAGGCAGCTCCTCCTCGAGCTGAACATCGCAACACCTCAGACTTGGCTCTCTACCCTCCTCTTCACTTTGTGTTTTCCTTCAGCCTATCCCTCAAGAGCACAGATCCATAAAAAAAAGCCTGAAAACAGCAGCTGACTACTCAGAGGAAGCTTTCAGGGTGCTGAAGCCACCTTGTGAAGGATTCCAAGCCTTTGTTAAAATGGTTGAGGCCTGCATCCCAGTGATTGCCCTTTAATCTGGTAAAACCTGATGACATCCAAATTCCTTAAGTGTCCACATTTCTAATGCTAACATTTCTCTTGTACCTAAATTCTGTATTCCTTGCTGCAAGATTTCCAAGGAAATGGGAGCACCAAGCTTATATGGAGCTGCTTCAAGAGTCAAGCAATTCATACAGGTGTTTTTGGCAGTTCTTACTTTTGACTAACCAGCTGACCAGCAGCTTGTGCAGTCCTGTTCTATTCAGATCTGTTTTGGATAACAGCAATAAGTTGTTGCTTACTGTTTCAGACAGGGAAGTGAATACTGAACTCCAGCTTCCTGCCAAGACCATCAGTGCCTAAAAGCTCGGGTTATTTGTGTCAGTGAGTTTCAGCTCAATTGATGACTCCACTGCAAAGTTAAACCACCACGACTGGTCTTCTTAGATCAGTAAGATAACCCCACCGACCACAGCCTCAGCCCAGGGCTAGCGTCAGTAGGGTTGAAGGACCAGGGGTGAAGAAGGAGGCATGCTGGAAAGGGGAATTGCAGGCAAAAAATGTTCCTTATCATTTCCACGCTGTTATTTTTTGAAGATAGGAGAACTCCATAGCTCTAAGCCTTGAGTGTTTAAGGCTCCAGAAGTGCCAAATGAATGCATAAAAGTGAGAGGAGTCTATAGCTAAATCAGAAGTTCCATTTTCAATTTATGGTGTTGATTCAACCTCCAGCATTAGACATTACTCAGAACAGCACAGTAGAAAAGCAGGTAAACAAATCTCAGTCATATTCAACACCCGTGAAGACAGCAGTAAGGCTCCACAGACTATCCTTCATTTCAGCATGAAATGACCAGCATGCATTTATTGGCCACTAGAGAACACAGGACCTGTCTGATTTTTTCAAAAGGAATTTTAAAGTCAAACAAGACAAAGACAAGTCCTGTGATTCTCTGCTGGTAAGTTCATGTCTCAGCACAGCTTCATGCTTCTGTCCCCTGTGTGTGAGATGCAGGCAGTCAGCCTGAGATGAGAGCTGTGGTATTGGTGCATGGCATCATGCAGCTGGGAAAAACTGCTGTGCCACAGATTTTACTGTCTCCTGGGACCCTGCACTCAAAGGAGATATGCAAGGCTGCACAGTTACCCACTTGACTTTACCACTGTGGTGCCTTTCACAACCCATAGACAGACACTTTCTCACTAAAAATAAAGGTACTAAATAAAGGATCCAAAGTCCCTGTGTGTCTTTCCTGAATGCCTAAGGGAAAAGCTACCTACAGTGAAGGGTATCCCAGACTTAGTCTTCAGAAGGGCCATAGATAACCTTCCTCCTACCTGAATGGGTCCAGGGAATGTCTGTTTTAATGAACCAGACTGAATGTTCCAGTCTTAGCTGGAGAGTTGCAGCTGAAAGCAAAGGGAAGTTTGAAACTTCTGTAGCAACAGGAACTCCAGAGACTGAATGTCTGTGAACTCTTCTTGGCTGCTATTCATGGGATGCAGCCAGAGAACCAAAGACTGTGGGCCAAGCACATAGAAACTGCAACCACGCCAGGAAGAATGGCAGAGGCAAGGGCAGCAGAACCACTGTTCTTACATCTTGAAGCTGAAAAAAAATCAAGACAGAAGTATTTAGGACTCTTTTCACTTCCTAAAGCTTGCTGCATTTGCTAACACAACCTTTGCCCAGAAAAGCCATTTTCTCAACTATATCTACTACTTTGGCTTGGTTCCAGGAACAAACTCTTATTCCTGAATGATTGTTTCAAGTTCAAAGATTGCACTGGCACATTACTCTCCAAAGAGACAAAAGCAAGAGTCCAGTATTGGTAGTGGACTTACAGAAAGATGGAGATGTGGAACAAGCGCAATGAGGTCTTCCAGCACAGAGTTATCCCTATAGCCAGGAAACTCAGTGTGTTCCTTGCCAAAGGATACCTTTTCTCCCTTCTGTCTCAGGAGAGAGATCACAGCTAAAGCACCAATAGTTTGTTTACACTAACCTCAGCTTGACAGAGATAAGTAGTAGCTTCACAAAGTGGTAGTGGACTAGAGTAGTCCTGATGCTGGAAGTGTAGCAGCCTTGCAAACCACCAGCATAAATATCTGGGTTCAAACTGCCAGCAAATCTCGCCTGCCTTTGCAATAAGAACACTGGGGACCCAAATGCGTGAGTCCTACAACATCCTTGCAAAGGCACCTGGGACAAATGGAGGCTGCAAAGAACCCTGAGACCTGATGTGTATCAGGTGGCTTCATCTTTAGTGACCTGTGGAGTTCTCCCAGGTTTCACAGCAAATGGGTAAAATCTGGGTCATGTGGCTCTTGTAGGTGAATATAGCGGGCAAGCTACAGATTTGCCCTTGAGTGTGACCCTGTGTAGGTGCAGCTGGTGAGGGCTGCTTGGGGTAGTGGAGACCAGACTGTCCTGTGCCCCCACCGTGTATGAGAGGCTGTATACAATACCTTCCACCAGCTGGCAGTGGTACTTGCTATAGTTCCCCACAGAATGAAGATGCAGCCGGTTACCATCCTGTGTCTGAATGAAGTTTTTGACAAGAAATATCTCGTAAGGGGGAATGAGGACTTCCTTCTCAGATGTGTAGTAAGAAAAGCCTTGCATAGCTGCTCCCAGGCAAGTAGTCACTGTAAACAAAGTTTCATTCCCAAACTTCTGGGCTTCACTCCTGAGGCGGGAGGTGGAAGTGAAACGGCCAAATCGCACCCTGCTGCCTACCGTGGCCTCGATATATAAGTCTTTTACACCCCTGTGCACCTGGTAGCACTTACGTTTCCCCATGCTTTCCTTGCTGCTCTGCCATTCCTTCATTATCTGGATAGCAGTTGTTAGGTAAAAGTGAAAATATTTGAAACTGAAGTTGTGTCTGTAGTGCTCTGGAGAGATTCCTGCTGTAGACGTAGCCCAGTTCAGCTGAGAGTGCAGGGAAGAGTTCATGGTGTAAGCCATGAGGACTATGGCATGGCTGTCATGCATCTCCCTCAGGAGACCTACAGGGCTCTTTAACAAAGCCTCCTGAGCCTTCTTCCAGAGGCTCAAGTAGTCCTTGTTAGCAGCTATTTCCTTTTGAAAATAGTCTCCTTGCTCCAGTTCTTCCATCATCTCCTCTCTGCACCCCAGATACTGGTCATCAAAAGAATTCAGAGCCATATCCATCAGGATGTGGGACATAGCCTGCAACATAAAACCAAATTAAGATTAGCATCAGAAGTATGAACTTCTCGTGTATCTCTATAAATGCTAGCCAAGTTTTTATCTACCTTTTTCTCTCTGTTTTGTCATTATTAGCAGAGCAAGCAAGGCAGGTAGGCAACTTAGGCAAAGACCTTTCTGAGCAACCTCAGGCCTATACATCAGCTCAGTCAGATGCCAGTCAGGATACCAGAGTTCTTATTTGATGTGGATCAGTCACATTAAAAACTTCAGGAGAGTTGGCTCTTCAGAGGGTGATGGTATAAAGCCTGTAGGACAGACCCATGGTCCATTTATAGCAATATTCTGCCCAGGATTATTAAGTGGTTTTGAAGAGGGAAAGAATAAGCAAATCAATGTGCTAGGGCAGTGTAACCTGAACACTCAGAGGTGAATTTCTTCTTCCTGTCCTTCCAAATCTCTTGGACATGTTTTGGCTCCATGGAATAAGGTAAAGGACAATATAGTAGCACTGTGACAAAAAGTTTTGTTCATCCAGTTTGTCTCAGTGAGACCAGCTGGACTTGTCATGTAAATAAATATTAACCATGAGTAAGGATTCACACAACTGGGTCCTATAACAGGAAAATAACCTCTAATATATTCTGCCTATGAAACAACCAGCTAATTATGTGTATGTAGCATTTCTAATTAATAAAAACCTTGTGTAACAAGATCTAAGAAATTGTGTGAGTTATGGTATTGTTCCTTTTGCTTTTTGATCACCTAGTAGTCTAGTCAAGTGCTGTAGTCAGTTGATAGTTGAATTCTACAAGTAGCTAGATATTCACTTTAATCCCAAATATTCATCCTAGACATGTAACCAAACTGACACCTTTCTTAGCCTCTGAAGTTATACTGGCCCATAAACTATGCAGGGATTCAATTTGTTTCTCATTGAATATCATAATTGTTTTGAGGGAAAGCTAAAAGGCCATCAAAATACACAGAACAATATTTTTACCATCCCATCCAACAACACGCTGTTTTTGTCAGAGCCTCAGCTGAGACAGGTGGGAAAAGGAGAGGAGACAATGAGGTCTACTCATAAACATACTGCAGGAAACCATCTGGCTCTAAACAAGAGGAAATTTCCAACCAAGCGGTTAAAAGAATTAGGACAGGTAAGAAATGGAACAGAAGAACTGAAAGCAGAAAAGGTAAAAATTAACTAAAAGCTCCTTAAAGAAACTGTTTCAAATGGGAAAAAATTTAGAAACTTATTTCAGTGAGGTAAGCAGTTTCACCATTTCAAATAAAGAATGTTTACCCTTTTTACCAATATTTGTGAGGAGATCAGCAACAGGAGACTGCCCAGAAGCACTGGCTTCCTAGAGTCCACCCAAGGCACTGGAAAGAACATTTTGTTCAAGAAGAGGTCATTTACATCTGTTTCTTTCCCTTTTTTCCTGAACTGGAAAATTCTGCGGTTTGTAATTTGCACTCAGGTTTTGGTGACAGTTCTTCAACCAAAGATCATTCACCAGATTCTTACAGCAATTCAGAAGTCATTAATCATCCAAGCAGACAATTTACTGATAGAAATGTGCCCACAATTCATAAGGAAAGGTCTGGTTGCACCAACTCCAGCTGATGTGAGTGTCCGTCACCTTAATAGCTCTTTTAATTCCAAGGTATCCAGTGTTCTTGTTCTTGCAAAAAGGAAGAAAATCATGGCTTGGAGAAGTCTAAGGCAGTTGTTCCCTGAGGAGTGATGTGTCAGGATGAGTACTCCCTGGTCAAGAGCTTAAAAAGCCCTTTTAAAGAAGTTGGCTCTCATAAAGCCAACACAGAAATGCAGGGTAGGTTGGGATCCCATCTGGAAGCAGAGATAACCTAACTGTCCTTCTCTTCCTTATCACCCCCTGGTTTCTAATCATGCGTTGCCAATCCTACCCTTACACCACTGCAGAGCTGCACCTTGTTGGACTGTTTACATTGGGTACATGCAAAATGAGTGTGCAAATGCAGATTCTGTACTGAGTCAAACCCCTCTCTAGCAGCTGATTTCCAGACCCCTTCCAAATAACAGCAGAGAGTTATTCCCTTTCAAAGCCCCATGGCCTCTGATAACTACTCTTTGTGGAAAAACAGGCAAGAGCTGTCAGGGCCTTGGTTCTGATCACAGAGAACTGAAAATCATTTTCCATGGCCTGCTGGTGATAGGCTGGGTGAGAGGTGCACCTCCAGTCATAGTGTGATTTCCTGAGATGAGATGTTTGTGCAGATGCTTAGATTCTGTGGACAGAGAGCATTTGCCAAATATTGCTGAAATAGGGTGAGAGGTGACATAAAGGTCTCACACTGGGCTGCTTCCAAAGCAGCTGATGCTGCTGACAGTATCTGTCACCACTGGGGACATAAAATGATGGCATGAAGAATGATACAAAGTGATAGATGAAGACTACCTACTTCTCCTTTTTGGAATTTCTCGGTTATTTTGGGCTGTATTTCCGAAAGTGATTGTTTGACGGCTAAAAGTGAGTTCACAGAGGGGTTTGTGAATTAACTGAGGCATCTCCTCTTCTGTTTATGTAGAGATAAAACAGAGCTAAACTGAGATGTGTTCCCGTGGGAGCTTGGCAACCATGATAAAAAGCCCCGCTTAGATGTCAATGCAGCTGCATATAATCCAGTTCCAGATTATGTCCCAGGTTTTCCCTTCTGATCTCTTAGTTTATTAGTGTGAAGGGAATCAGAAAGAAAGGCCACTGAATTTGCATTTTCAAACGCTTCAGAAGAAACGGTGTACTATTAAATACTATAAATACAATGGCCATAAGATGGCAGCAGAAGATTTGGAGCAAAACTTAGACTTGGAGCTGCATTAACCAAGCAAAAATCGAATTCCTCCATTTCAGCAGTAAATTTGTAATGTGATCTGTGCACTCGGATCCCCAAAGGTCATGACTTCAGCCCACGTAGGGATCTGGTGACACAGAGTAGATGACATAATGGAGGCCTCCCAGTACAACTTGCTTGAAAAAAATATTTACTGAAAGGGAGAGAAAAACTATAAAACTAACAGAATGATCTGAACATAGACAGGAAACTTTTTGTGCTAACAAAACCATACAACAATAACAAAATCCTTATTTTATTATTACACCAGACATCAGAATTTCACTAATCTCTCTAGTATTTTTCCAAGCAAAAATTTCGCTTCTTCCAATAAGCACTCCGTTCATTTTTACTAGATGGTGTTCGGAGAAGAGTTTTGCTGTGAGCAGTGAAGCCCCATCAGTTTATGCCAGTAGAGGACCCAGTCACAGGTCACAGGTGTTTGACCAAGACATGCAGAGATATTTATTAAATGTCTTCTCCTTGGCCAAGATCAGCATAACTGGTACAAGTCATAGCAGCTTGCCAAACAAGATGCTCACACTCCTTCTGGCAGCCATCTCTGTGGACTTATCCTGTGTCTTTACTTCAGGCCTAGGTCTTTCAGGAAAGCACTGAACTGGGTAGATGGTGAATCAGGAAAAGCCTGGCCCTCCTTTCCCTCAGCATCACAGAGTGCTGGAACTACAACTTGAATTTCGATATAGTCACTTCTGATTCACAGTGGGACATGGGAGGGGAGGAGGAAGACTCAAGCACCGGATTCCTGCTCCTCAGGGTTCACAAAAGCAGGCTGTACCTTCCAGGCACCTCTTTAACCACAGGTAAAGGTTGTACAGAGGAACAGAGAGAAGCAGCACACCGACCTGCTTTACATAAGCAGTGTTTATTGCAATCTGCAGCTGAGGATGGTTTCACCAGCTTACATGTAACCAGAGACTTGATCTCTGTCAGTCTCCTGAGGATCAGCAGTTCTTGTCCTTGGAGGTGTGATCTGCCATCTACCTCACAGGGAAGGAAAGCTGACAGAGCATATTAAGGAAACTGTGCAGAAAGTGCTAAGGTATAATATTAATACCAGAGAACAGAATGAAGTAGTGCAGAGGGAAGACAATATGTATATAAATACACGCATACATTACATATATATATTTAGATACAAGTTGTCTTGAATAAATGAAATGCTGACCAACTTCAATTCATTCTCGAATTAATTTTCTTTTTGTTTATTTCATAACCTTTCTTTTTTTTAGCTGCTTAGACACTTCTAGTTTCAAGCATAAATGCTATAGCATTAGAGACAAACAGGTTGTTTTTTTGTTCTGCTTGGGTATGTTCAGTTTCACCAGAAACTGGTTAAAAAAACCCACAAACAACAAGAGATTTCCAAGTTGCTTTTTACAGACAGTCACCGAATTCAGTGTACAAATGGAAGAGCTCATCTAAAAGGAGGAAACACTCCTTAAACACTCCTTTTGGGATTTCTTTGTTGTTGCAATATGGGCAAATTTTGTGACAGAATAACCAGAAGAATGTACCAGAACCTGATTTCTGTCTATGCATTAGTATTTGCGCACTTCTGTCTTTACAAAGTGATCCTACTGTGATGCATACTTAGTGTGATTATATTATGTGAAAATACTGAACTTTCCAGTAATTCTAACAGGAGGCAGCTGTTCTTCCTTCCTCCCAGTAAGCATCCCAGGATCAGATCCATCACATTTACGCACATTGTGTAACAACATCATAATTGTGGCATTCTTCTATAATCCCCCCGCATTTTTCAGAAAAGTACAAGAGGTCTAGTTTTGTTTCTAAGGCATGCAATAGTTTTCTTGAGACCAATCACCATTTTTTTCACCTATTGTGTCCTGGGGATTCAGATGGAAGGAGGTAAGACAGAGTCTTCTGGTGAAGCTCAAAATACCACAGG